TGCTTGCTTTCAAGAGTTCTAGAGAGTTCAAGAGATCAAGGAAACTAGTTGTTATTGCTATATAACAACAAAGGTATGTTTTCTACACTTCTATGTAAATTTCGAAAATTATAGAAGCATGCTAGGGTTTATTTTGTGTTCATAAAGTTGTATGTCTTATGGTGAAAACATAGATCCAAACTAGGGTTGCATGCACACATAGGATTGTTTGTATAAAACCTAACAGTGGTATCAGAGCCATTGGTTTTTTGTTTTCAATTGGATTTGATGCATATTATGAACTTGACAAATTAGGGTTTATGGCAAGTAAACCCTAAGGCTTGGTGATTTTCGCAAATTAGGGTTGCCAAACCCTAGTTGGCGATTTTTTGATAGGGTTCTTGAAACCTTTTTGCCTAGCCTCCAAATTTCGAAATTAGGGTTATGAAACCCTAGGGATTTCGAAAATCCCTTGTCCCCATGATAAGGTCCCAAGATTTTAGGGATATGGATAATTTTATCTTTGTGATTATCAATTTAATTGTTTAAACTAGATAATTGAAGATCTTGTATTATCCTTTCCATATATTTAAAAATAAAAGGATTAAATAAATTAATAGTTTAATTTTATGATAATCCCTAAAGATTTAATATTTCAAATTAATTGTTTGATTTTGATAATTATTAAATCAAAGATTTTTGGTGTTTAAAATTTTAAATTAAATAGCCTTAATTCCGAAAATTTTAAATACACATTAAGATACTAGTATTTTTGAAATGTTTTAAAATACACCCTTATACAATTATGATATTATAAGATTAATTATTATATATGTATAAGAATAAGCTAGTCTTATCGCTAGTAGGCCTCATTCACGAAGCCGGTCTATAAGGTGGGTATAAGGTTGCTGCCTATAAAATGGCGCTTAATGGATGTACACTCACATCTACCGCTTGCTTGACTGGTGGAGGGTCGTTAGCCGAACGGATAGGATAGGGCGTTTAATTCCTCATTAAAAGTATAATGGAAATATTAAAGTAACTACATTGTTTTACAAATTCCCACTCTTAGTTACTTTAGGGTAAAATGTGAAAATGATGCTAATCCATGGAATTACACTTCGTACCCTTGTCAAACGTTGATGGAGCGCGTGTGGTTAACCGGCACATCAATTTGGGGATGACATTGGTAGCGAAGGGTGACTCGATGTTTGTCATAGATCAATGGAGCGTGTGTGGTTCACCGGCACATTGATTAGGTGATAAAGACATTGAGTGCACCGCGTTGATTCGCATGGTTATTCACAAATTTGTTTGCGATCCTCGGCATCCCAGTCGCAAATTTGAAATGCATATCGAGATTTAAACATGCCATTGAAAAGTTCAATGAATCTCAAAGATCTAGGAGTTTTCAATACATTTAAAACCTAAATTGTTTTTTTTTTTTCATGGTGAGAATTAGTGAATCGTCATTCACTTACCTTCAAATTATTTACTTTTAGAGTACGGCATCCCTTTCTAAGTTGTAAATAATGTTGTTGGATCCTAGCCCTAATTACTCATTTGGGTGTTTAATTAGGGATTCATTTCTAATCAAACTTTTTCCTTTTCAGATGTCAACAAACAACAACAACGCTTCTGGGTCATTCTCGTTGATGAACTTGTGTCAGAAAGTGACATTTGATGGTTCAAACTTCACCGAGTGGATGAGGTATATCCGCATGATCACACGCTACGAGGACAAAGAATATGTCCTCGATGAAAAGCTTGAGAAGATCATCCCAGATGTTGCTACTCCTGAGGAATTGGCCGCCTTTGAGGCCCACGAGCGTGATGCCACGAAAGTTCACTGCATCATGCTGGCCACCATGAATCCTGAACTCCAAAAGTCCTATGAGGACATGTATCCATATGAAATGCATCAGGATTTGCTGGAAAGGTATCACCAGAGCGCGAGGCAAGAGCGCTATGAGATCATTACTAACATGATCACCGCTAAGATGGGGAGTGGAGAATCCCTAACCTCTCATTTGCAGAAAATGCAGAGGTATGTTGATCGTCTTCTCAAACTTAATGTTAAGTTTGATGAGGATTTGGCTATCGACATAATCCTCCACTCCTTGCCCTCCTGCTACAATCAGTTTAGGATGACCTACCATATGAATAAAGAGGAGGTCTCCTTGAGCAAGCTCCAAGGACTCTTGAGGACTGCTGAGAGCAACCTCAAAGACAAATCCGTTGCACCGTCCCCTGCTGTGGCCGCTCCTGTGATGGCGATAGGTCAAGGAAAGGGTAAAAAGAGGAAGGCTCCATGTAAGAGCCACCATAAGGGGAAACCCCGTGATGGTTCGTCCTCAAGTGGGACCAAAGTAGGCCCCGCTAGACCCTCTTCCGATCCTAAAGAAGCAGAGTGCTTCTATTGCCACCAAAAGGGCCACTGGAAGCGAAGCTGCCCACAATATCTGCAGGACATAAAGATGGGAAGATCAAGCCCACATTTGCAGGTATGTATTCTATTAAATCTAATAACTCATCATTTGCTACTTCATGGGTTCTTGATACAGGATGTGGTTACCACATTTGTTCTGATTTGCAGGGCCTAAAAAGAAGTAGGGAAATGGAGCATGGGAAGATGAACCTGATTATGGGAAACAGAAGATCATCGCCTGTGACCAAAGTCGGTGTTTATTCTTTAGTGTTGAGAAATGGGTTAGGAATAGATTTAGAGAATTGCTGTTATTCGCCAGATATGGCAAGAAACATTATTTCTTTTCACGGGTTGTTTAGACAAGGTTTCAGATATTCTTTTGATAATAGTAATGGTTCTATTAATGTTTATTTGAATGGTGTCTTTTATTTCAATGCATTACCTTGTAATGGGATTTATGAATCTGTGATGATTGTTGATAATTTCGGAAATAATGTTTTGAATATTGATTCGTCTACTAGTCTAGACAAAGCATGCTTGTGGCACTGTCGCTTGGCCATGTCAACAAGAAACGCATAGCCCAACTCCAAAAGGATGGAGTGTTGGAGTCATTCGACCTTAGGGACGATGATACGTGTGAATCTTGTTTACTTGGGAAGATGACCAAGTCACCCTTTACTGGCACTTGTGAAAGGGGTGAGGGTTTATTGGATCTCATACACACTGATGTGTGTGGGCCCTTTAGATCCACCACAAGGGATGCTTGCCGCTTCTACGTGACTTTTACAGATGATTATAGCAGATATGGATATATCTACTTGATCAAGCAAAAGTCGGAAACCTTTGAAAAGTTCAAAGAGTTTAAGAGTGAAGTGGAGAATCAGCTGGGCAGGAAAATCAAGATGCTTCGGTCAGACCGAGGAGGAGAGTACCTAAGTCTTGAGTTTCACGACTATCTAAAAGAATGTGGAATCGTTTCGCAATTGACGCCTCCAAGAACGCCACAATTGAACGGTGTGGCTGAGAGACGTAATCGGACCTTGTTGGACATGGTTCGTTCTATGATGAGTCGGACTTCGTTACCAATAGCTTTCTGGGGGTATGCCTTAGAGACTGCCGCCCGTATACTTAACTTAGTTCCCACTAAGAAGGTTTCCAAGACTCCTCACGAGATGTGGACAGGGAAGGCTCCCTCGTTGGCACATATTAAGGTTTGGGGTTGTGAGGCTTTCGTAAGACGAGAGACTCACGACAAACTTGAACCTCGTAGTGAGAAGTGTTATTTCATCGGCTATCCACAGAAGTCTTTTGGCTACCTTTTCTATAGACCGAGTGACAATGTTGTCTTCGTTGCTAGAAGAGGAGTTTTCCGAGAAAAGGAATTGATAGGCCAAGAAGACAGTGGGAGGCAAATTGAACTTGAAGAAATTCAAGATCAAAGCGATGAAGGAACCTCTGACACTGGCACTCAACTTGAGGAGGAAACTCCTGTTGAACCTGTTGACGTGTCCTTACCTCTTCGACGTTCTCTAGGGCTAGTGTTCCACCCCAGTTTTATGGTTTTCATATTACTACTGAAGGGGATACGTTTATTAGTGATAGTACACTAGTAAATTTGGATGAACCTAGCAACTATAAGGAAGCCATGGCAGGCCCAGAGTCTGCAAAATGGAAAGAGGCTATGGACAGCGAGATTCAGTCCATGTACGACAACCAAGTTTGGAATTTGGTTGATAATGTACCAGGTCGTAAGACAGTCGGGTGCAAGTGGATCTTCAAGAAGAAGACGGACATGGATGGGAAAGTGCATACTTATAAAGCGCGATTGGTTGCGAAGGGCTTTACTCAAACTCCCGGAGTTGACTATGATGAGACCTTCTCACCAGTTGCGAAGATAAAGTCTATTAGGGTGATGCTTGCCATAGCTGCGTTTCATGATTATGAAATATGGCAGATGGACGTAAAGACCGCTTTCCTTAACGGAAAGTTGGCTGAGGATGTCTACATGAATCAGCCAGAGGGTTTTGTCGATGTGAAGCATCCGAATAGAGTATGCAAGCTTGAGAGATCTATTTATGGATTGAAACAAGCATCTCGCAGATGGAATCTTTGTTTTGATGAGAAGGTTAAAGAGTTTGGCTTTCTGCGAAGCAAGATGAATCTTGTGTGTATGTCAAAGCCAGTGGGAGTATAATAAGCTTTCTCGTATTGTATGTCGACGACATACTACTCATAGGAAACGATGTCCCAACCTTGCAGGAGGTCAAGTCCTGGCTTGGGAAATGTTTCGCTATGAAGGACCTCGGAGAAGCTGCTTATATTCTGGGAATAAGAATAGTAAGAAACAGGGAAAAGGAGACTGATAGGACTCAGTCAGGATACATACTTGGAAAAGGTGCTAAAGCGTTTTAGTATGGAAAATTCCAAGAAAGGGGAGTTGCCAATCCAAAGCAATACCAAGCTGAGTAAGACTCAGAGCCCGAGTACAGAGACAGAGATAGCTGATATGAGCCGAGTACCTTAGGCTTCCGCAGTAGGCTCTATCATGTACGCTATGACTTGTACACGCCCTGATGTGGCCTTCGCTTTAAGCATGGTCAGCAGATATCAGGGGAATCCTAAAGAAGTGTCTAATGATAACGAATTTTTTTCACATGTTGCACGAATCCCAGATGCCATGTTGAAAAAGGTTGATCCAACGAATGTTGTGCTTATTGATTATATGACAACAATTGATTCCAAAGTTGAAACTGGGAAGTTGTTAACGAAAGAAGGTGTGGGTCATTCGAAGAAATCTAAAACAACAAAGAAAGGTGTGATTGTCAACCCTGAGCTAAATTTTCACGAAACGAAGCAGTCAAAGTCTCCCAAGAAAACAACGAAGCCTGATGAGTTAGTTTCAAAAGTTGTGATAAAACCTGTTGAACCTTTTGTTATAAAACCAACTTCAGTTACCATTCCTTCGAAGACTGGAGTTTTTCAAATATTAAAGCTGAAATATGGTAGTTCTCCTACTTCGAATGTGGTTCGCAAGCCTCATATTACTCATCAAGGGGTAATTATGCGTGAAGTACCAACTCTAGTTTCTCCTTACTCAAAGAAATGAAGGGATGCAGATATGGTCAAGAAGATATCAAAGAAAAAGAAGAATACAAAGAAGAGGCAGTTTGTAATTCCAACGGAATCATCTGAAGAAGAAGAAGTGCCTGAACACCCGAACCTGAACCTATTATAGAGCCTACTTCTCCTGAGAAGACTGTTATCATACCACCTGAAGTTTCTTCTGCCAAATCATCTCATGAGGAGGTACGAACTTCAAACATCACTACAAACGTATCTGATACAGATGTAAATGTCATCATGGGTGAAGGAGATCTATCAAACAACTCAACCTCCACAAGGTACTACAATTATTGTTTCTGTCGAACCCATTACAAGTACCTTTGTTTCTTTATCTCTATTTATCATCCCTACTACTTCCACCATTGATTCACCAACCTTTCAAAAAAAAATCATCGATCAACCCTTTACATCTATTTTTTCATCTCAATCCACTAATCAACCCAAAACGAATGATGAATCTAATAACGAAGAAGGTGGATTTGGAGGTACTTTTAAAGATATGGTTTTTTATGAAGAAGGGGAGGATTTACCTGACCACATGCTGATGTCTATGAACATTTCAAAATACTGAATAAAAAGCTGAATTCAATTATTTAGTCTCAAGCAGACATAGGGGGAGGAAGTTCAGTGTCCAGTTTCGAAATTGATGGACTGATGAAGGCTTTTTAGGCATGAATGGTAAGTAGAGTGTCTTGTACGATCAAAGACTCAGAATCGAGAATCCTAGAGAAGGTAGATCATGCGGATCAGACATTAGAGTTGAGGATAAATTCATTCAATTCAAAGTATGTGGGAGTTGTGAAAAATTGAATAATATTCAAAAGGAAGGACACACATTGTTCGTCATGGGTGTCAAGAAGGTGAGAGAAGATGTTAATTTGAAGCTTCAAGTGCTTTTTTATGATACGGTTCGAGAAGTTGCAGTTGTTCAGAAAGACGATGCCAATCTGCGTAAGAAAGTTGATGTTATTTGTGATGCTGTGACAAAATATGTTATGTTGTACGAAAACTTGAGTCCTCAAATTACTCAACTTTCTACAACTGACAATCAACAGTTTGGGGAGGTTATTTCGATGCTCAAAGATTTGAAGGAGTCGCTGCTTAAGCCTACTACATCTTCGATAATTACTCCAAAATTTCTCTCACAAAAGTTTACACAGTTCGAAGCCATTCTCAATAAAAAAACTAGCTCCTCTGACAACCATTTCGAATCTTCTGCCAACCGGTGCCCCATCTGTTCGAATACGGGTGCAAGGGGAGAAAAGAGAGTTGGAGAAGGTTCTCATGCGAAGGCTGGAGGTTATGATTTGCATGGAGAAGCTAAAGTTGTGGGCAAAGTTTATCCTTTGAAAATTCCGACGAGCAAGCCAACAATTTCGAGTGTTGGACCAGTTACTTCAATTGTTGTAACGTCCATGCCAATCACAAAGTCGATCACGAACGGATTTGTAATTGGATCATCTACTGGCCAAGATAAGGCTTCGAAAACAAAAGATGCTACAGATAAATTAACAAAAAAAGGCAAGCTAATTGTTGTTGAAAAATCAAAAGAAGAGAAAGCAGAGGTCGAAGCAGAGATTGAAAAGCTAAGGGTAGTTTACAGCATAATGAGGCAAAGGCGAGTGATCCTCCTGTTTTGAACAAAAGAGATACTACTAAACATTATAATTACAAAAAGATTGAAGAGAAGGTGGCCTCTAATCACATGTATGCATCGAAAAGAAACCAAAATAGAGTTATGGGGTTTCTAATGCAAACATGAGTCAGCTTGACTTTCCGATTACCGAGATGATGTTTCTGATGCCTTAGTTTAAAGTTTCAGGTAAATTCAAAAGCGAAAATGATTACAATTACATGAAGTTTCATTTTCATGCAGTTCATACTAAAGCTCCAGAAGAAATTTGGTCGTTGATCAAATCAAGAAGGTGATAAGCATCAAAATGGACGTTTTATTCGAAGACATGATGCAGAATGTGAGATTGATTGTTGCAAGGGCGAATGGTCAGACTTGTGATTTCACAGTCGTAGATTTTTCTCTCATTAATCTTTATGACCTTATACAAATGGCTCTTCTCCTAAAAGATAAAAATTCCTCATAGCTTCGAGAAACTGATGTTTTTCGACTGGGAGTGGCTCACATCAAGATCTTCTTGGAGAATTATTATGAGTTTTTAATACTTATAGATACGGAGCTAGAAACAGTGAAAGGGCTTGAAGTCAAAGTACCCATGGAGCCATCCAAGTCTCAACAAGAATTGAAGAAATATGCTGATGGGGAAATATGTTTAAAGCCTTTCGGTTTTGTATTTGCTGGTAAAGATAAAGCTGGAAAATCGAAGAGATTTTTGTTCCAAGCCTCTAAAATCAAAAGATATACAATTTATCAATATACGAACTTCATTGTTCGTATGAATAATTGAAAGAAAAACAATGAAGGAAGAATAAGAAGGAGCTGAAGAAGATTATATCCTGGTACATAGAAGTTCAAAGGGTGATGATGTACGCCATCTAGATTTTCACAACCTGAGAATTCGACTTCATTCCAAAGGGGGAGATTTGAGGGTCGAAGACATTTTGTAATGAGTCAAAGGCGATACCCTTCGTGTACTTTTTATTGTATTTACTAAGGTGTCTTATATGTTCGAAGCTCAATTGTCATGTCTTAGAATTTTTTGTATACTTTGCTCTTCCCTATAAATAGGAACTTTACTTTGAGTTAGAGAAGAAGCCTTTTATAGAACTTGTCTTTGTACTCTCTGGAAAACGGTGAAAGTATAATAGAGCTGAAACAAGATCATATTTACATCTCGTGTTCTTTCATATCATTTTCTCTTTGATTTGATTTGCATTACTTGATTAACAATTCATCAGAGAGGCATAATCTTGTTGAACAACAACAATTTCCTTGCTGATCTCCTCCTTAAGTTCTTGAATTTTTAAATTTACACCCTCTTAAACTTTCTTGACATGTTGAATATACAATATGTTCCTTTCCTTTGCTACATCCTTCTATTTTGTTAAATCAGAATCAAAGGTGGATAACTGATTCTTCATCCTTTTCTCATTATTTCTATCAGCATCCTGAATCATATCATGAAGACGATTTTCTTGATGTTTGAGCATTATATCCATCTCCAAACTTGATATCGATTTTTTCATGCCATCATCAACTTGAATTTGTAGAAGAGAATTAAGTTATCGATTTAGAATTTAGAATTGTTTCCATTTAGAGCATGTTATCTAGAATTTCGTCCTTTTCCAGATCAAACTAAATGTCATCAAAAGTGTCATCAAATACATTCTCATCGTCATCAGTTAGAGTATGATTTTCTTCATGAGTATCAGGTGGTTCGGTAGATTGTGAAAAAAAATAAGGTGGTAATAGGTTCATTAAGAATTTTATCAAAAGTAGGTGAGTGGGTAGCAATTAGAGTAGAAACAAATGGGGGTAAGGTTGTAGAAGTGTCAATAGTGGAAGTTTCGAAGGTAGAAGAAACAGTAATAAATGTACCTCGATCATGTGAATTTTTGATACTAGATATCAAGGGTAGAGAAACAACAATTTGTTTTGGTGTAGACACTTACGAAGAAATAACAATCATTTCGACATTTGAATTTGCTGGAGAGTTTGGCACAAGAAAATTCCGAACCACTTCCTTTTCAATAGACTCATCATTAATCCGACTATTGAAGTTTCTTCTGCTGCTTCTTCGAAATACGTTTTGCCATGTATTCTTCTTGGTGCTTCTTTGTAGATGAAGAAATAGGAATAGGAACGTCACGGATGACAAGACCTGTCGTGTAACATGTGGCTTGAGAACCATAGAAGGAGAAAAACTAGGAGACATTTTAGAAGAACTTTGTTACTTATGAGCTTTTTTTTTGATATGTTTGAACACTCCATTTTTGAAGGAACAACTTCCTTAGTAGGGTCAATAGACTCCGGCTCAACAGGCTTTTCCAAGGGCTTCGAAACAACAAGCTCTTCATTTTGTTTCTTCTTTGGAGACTTAGTGCTCTTCTTTTCTTGAACTGGTTTCGAAGGACTCACTTCGACCTTCTTAGACCTTCGAGATCGTTTTGGAAGAACCCTCATTAAATCGTGGTAACAGAACTCGAGTCTCGATCAATGGATTAATGGTTTGTAAATAGGCCTTTAACATTGAATTCAAAGGATCAACCTTTTTGAGCATGCCATCGGGAATCCTTACAACATTACAAAACTTCTCTGCATTGTATTCAATTGTTTTTGGAAGATTATACTTCTGGAATTCAACTTTTTCCTCATCATTGGGTACCAAAATACCTTCCTTCTCATATGCAAATTGAAGAATCATGCTCCAATACCTTGCACAAGAAATCCCATCAACTATATTGGTTTTTTCAACACTCTTCAAGAACTCGTTCCACATTTCAGTAGCATAGTCAACTGCAATATCATAGTATATTCCAGTTACCATAGAATAGATCTCCATTCTCCCTTTATCTAAACCAACACTTCGACCAGTGAGACATCGAAGGTAAATCCCAAACAAAAAATTCTAGATAAACGGTAAATTCGTAACCTTATAGAAAGGTGGAGAATTAGGAATTTAGAGAATTTGACAGAACAACTTCTTAGAGATACAAAATTTCTTGTCATTAATATGGCTGAATGCAATGATGTCCATTGTTATGCTGTATGTTGAAGTAGATCGTGTAAGTGAAAGCCATGTCATTGGAAGTACAAAGGAACTGGAAATTGCAGTTTTCAAAACAGAATGTTATAAAGCCACGATCAACATCCTTAACCCCTCTGGATAAACAATAATATCACTATTAACTTGATATTTGGTACTTTAGATCTTCATGATTGGCTAAGAAGATACATATTCAGTGTCTAGAGATGGATCAACACCAGTAGCAAGATTAGCCATGATTAGGGTTTGTAGAACGATGAAGATAACAAAGAGTTCATTTGTAATTTGGGGATTTCAGGAAGGGAAACCGTATAATGAACCCTTGAAACCCTTTTTACAGGTGACCCTTGGATTTGAATTTGAAGCGGGATCAACATTAATGACAACTGATGTGGCACCTAAAAATAGCACCCAAACGACGATAATTTAGCCATGCGTGATAAAGTGAACATTACATCTCCTTGAAACTTGGACAAAATACAAACGTCACGGTAAACAACTAGTAACTTGCCCCAATGGAATGAGAACCGTCAAAAACATTCGGAATGGAGGTTAGGCTCTTTCACTTTTGGGTTAAAAAGCGAAGTCATATGCCAGACTGTCGAAATCATCAGTCTGAGTTGGTAATATTTAGAATCTCAAGGATTTCGTGAGTGCAATGTGTCAAGGAAAAAGATAAGAAGCAAATTAAGATAAAATTGACTCTATGATGTAGAAAATTTAATATTTGACATAAAAGTAGATAAATCCTGGGCAAAGATGACTTCATTAATCATCAAGAGAGATGATCAATTGCTTGTCTATTTTCCTGTGAATTAAACTTGAATACTTGTTGATAAGTATCAAAGGGCTTCTGTTTACATGGCTGAAAGGTGGCTTAACATTTCGCTACAATGCACTACAAAACATATGAGTATCAATTTGTAAACGAAATTACCTGTTTAACTAGTGTACTTAGTGACAAGTAGGCGTTGGAAAAACTTTTGTAATTGACTCAAAGAAAAAATAATACTCACACGGAAATCATATTCAAGAAAACAAAATATTAGTTGGATCTGGTTGGTTAAAAAACATCATGGGATTCAAACATTTGATCAAGACGACTCAAAACGACAGAATATGATTTGGAGTATTGAAGGTTGGTAAAGAAACAAATGTTTCATAAAATCTGGAACAAAGTTCCCCGTCAATTCTTTAAAAAAAAGTTCGACTATTAGGCTTTTAA